TAAATTAGGGCCGGGACTCGATTAAAAAAATTAATCTAATTAATTAGAGGCTTTGTAATTAATTAATCGAAATTAATCGCATTTTTAATCACATATAAATATTTGACCTGAGAACAGTGAGAAGCAATTTTTTTCACATGGATTTTAGTATACCATTAGGCGCATTCACACCGCAGTACTTTTCCCACAAAGGTTCATGAGAACTCTTTGAACCTGGGGTGGATTAGGCAAATGAAGCCGCTGACGTCACTTCTTCTTCTTCTGCTTTGGGTTTACTGGCAGGCCGCAAACCACTTCACGGCGTATACTGCCGCCCAAAGTCCCCGGAGTTGGGGACTGGCTTCAGTAGAAGCTGCTGGGAGTCCCAGCAGCCTTCCGAGTAAATCGCCAGAACGCCGACACCTCCTCATCTCCCATGTTTTATTTTGTGTTGCCATAAATTAGTCTCTCTGCGTTTCTGCGCTGGGCTAATGCTAATAATGCTAATGCGAGGATAATAAAATTCACAAAACGTTTTGGGAGTTTTACGGGGCGTGGTTTGCAATCCGCCCAGCCAATCAGAAATATAGCTCTTTTCTCACAAGAGAGCCGTACGAAAGTCCCTGCTCTCTAGCAGCTCTCTGCTCTCTAGCAGGGACTTTCGTGGGGGTAAAAAGGTTCTCATGAACTAATGTTAGTACCTGCTCTTTTTGGTGTGAACGCGAATTAAAAGAGGCTAACGTTCCATGCTAGCTTCCACGCTAGCTGCTATATGTTTTGCATTGAGGTGATGATACTTGAGGCTTGATGTGCTGCGGTGGATATGCGAAATCCTTTTTGCATAATTTGCACACAACCGTGCTCTTATCGACGCTTCCATCCGTCCGTTTTTTTTTAAAACAACATTTCCCACTGTTGTTTCACTGGTGGTTTGTTGTGTGTCCGAAGTCATGAACGTTAGTTGGTCCTCCAGTATAATCGGTACGCCTGAAACTCATCCAGTGAGAAACGTTCCGCGGTGCAAAAATAAGTGCGATTAAAATGCGTTAATTTTTTTAACGCGTTAATTTTTGTGTAATTAATTAATCTTAATTAACGCGTTAAAGTCCCGGCCCTAATTTAAATGTAATTCCTAATGAGCTCCAGATTAATCTCAGTACATTTGTGTGCTATTAGACAGAAACCACCATGTGTCATAGTATGCTGTATCTTTTACATAGTATAGATTACATTTTTTAAGATTCATTGGTGGCTTCAACTTCAAGTGTTTTATATTCACATTCCTCACACATAAACCATTCTTATCAAAGTGCTGCATCCTGGAGGAGTTGCGCTGTAGTCTGGAGGCGGCCTCTGGTCACAGGCTTTGCCTGCCCTCTCGGGTAGGAGGAGATATGAGAAGCAGTACCTTTGTAGATATAGTTTGCCTGACTGCGGCTGTGAAGAGACAGAAAACAGATTCATCTACATAACTCAAACACCTACATGGCTCAACTAAATTGAATAATACATATATACTGTATGATAGGGTGCATCAAATTTGAATGGGAAATTTTAATTTCAAAATATCAATTTGGCTGGCATTGCATTGTGTTCCAATTAACATAAAAATGACATTTGCAAAGTTTTGAGGAATTCCATTGAGATGTAGGGGTGCCACCAAAGACATGAACTTTTGTGAAATTTCAAAAAATGTGCAATTTTTAGTCTAATTGCCAAAAGGTTGACCTGGAAATGTTGAGTACAGTGAACTTTTATACAGTAACATGTTCTATAGGGTTATCAAAGTAAAAATTGTTAGTTTGCCCTTTGGGCAACTTAGGCATTTCTCAGAATTCAACTTTCAAGATTCTCCATTCATTTGTCCTATAGACACAATTAATGGAGCTCAATGGGACATGTTCACGTTACCCTGAGTTTTGTACAGCAGTGATGGATGTCGGACACACATAAAGTTTAATTGACTTTATTGTTAAACACAAGGGGCGATACTGACACACTTAAAAGAACAAACCCTAACTAAACTTCAAACTTAATTGCTCAGTCTGTGCCAGAGTCCGCTCCACTGAGCAACATCACCAGGGAGAAAGAGAGAGGAAATGGAACCTGAACTCTGAACCTAGCCCGTGCGTCTCCCTCCAGATATGTCTCCCCACCCGCCACCCAAGAGTAACGGTCCTATCGCAAGCGTGCGATTAGCTTGCAGCGGCGAAGGTTTTGCTGTTGGCTGCGGTCATGTTCAACTGCCTGCAGCACATTCTGCAGGTGCTGCTCCTTCCTGGCCACTGCGACGAAGTCGGACGTGAGCTTGACGCCACGCTCGGCACAGTCATTGACCACGTTCATTGCACATACATTGACCTCACTTTTTTTGAACGCAGCATTGGTCGCCCATTCCTTCACATCGAGAGACATCAATTCTGGATCAATGTGCAGCTGGCTGCATCCCAAACCAGCAATCCTATTGGCGAGATCAGCCAAGCTGGTGGTTGGCAAGAGGGTGGGGAACTTTGGCTTGCCAAAGCCAGTGCCAAAGCGCTGCTCAGGGATGTGCATGGGGAGATCAGCGGGCTTGTGCTCCAAGATCGCACTGGCAAGTGCACGCTTGTCCTCATTGGGCACCTTGCTGCTGAAGAGAGCCAGGGGTAGCATCTCACCTGTCAGGTACCAGCGATGCCTCTCCAGTGCCTTGATCGCTGATGCTGCAATGCCTTCATCTACAGCCTTGTATGCCTGCAGGTGGTGGTAGAGTGTCAGGTCATTCCAGGCAGCATCTACAGATTTATCGCAGGTCAACCACCACTTTGCATAGATGTGTGTAATGAAAATGGCAAATGCCCGAATCTTCGGCACCTGCTGCCGTGTGGTAATTGTGCCCTGGGGAAGCAACGCGATGTGCTGCTTCATCAAAGCCAGCTTGAGAGTATAGAGCAGCTTGGCCATCCATCGTGCCTTGTGGAGCGCTCCCGGTCGTTGGAAGGTCACTGCAGTCTGCTCTTCACCACCTTCATCCAGAAACACAAGACACAGCTGCACAAACTCACGGTAGTCACCTCGCTTGTGGTCAGTCACTTCTTTTGCGCACCTGACAAGTTCAGCACGTAACTTGCCCAGGAGTGGTTGCTCGGTGTTGCCAGGAATGTAACGGGACCATTGGCTGCTGGATTATTGTGGTAACAGGTTCCATTTCTCTCTCAGACGTGTGAACAAGGTAACCTCTGGCGAGCGTCGATGTCTCCATCTTCAGGTCTGTAAAAACCTGGTTCAGGAGGACCTCACCAATGTGGTGCCGGCACCCAGACCAAAGCAGTGGTCGGCCCAGTGAGAGCTGTATGGCAATGCAGGCTGCTGTGAGATGGCCGGTGTTTGACGCAGTGGTGTCAAATGCCATGTTGCCAACCTGGTCAGCGCAGCACCAGTCCTGCAGCAACTTGCATGTCAACCGGGCAATGATCACTCCACATGCCTCATTGGTCTGCTTCTTATACGCCGGGACACCAAGCAGTTTCAGCCGCTCTGCATCTCCAACCACCACTGTAAGACGCTCCTCCAACTGGCGCACATTGGTGAGCATCGGTGTTAACTTGATGTCCCAGTGTAGGGTGCACAATGGAGGTGGTGTCCACTGCTTGTGCCGTTCCTCACTGATTGTCTCCAGCACTTGGCGTCTTGCTCGGTCAGCTGTTGCGTAAGATGCAGAGAGATGTGTACAGTCACCGCCTGACTCTGCAAACAGGCCACGCGTGAAGGCAGCCTGTTGCGTTGGTGACATCTTCAACCTTGTAGCCAGTGACACAACACTTGGTCGGCTAAGGATGTCATGTGGAATGAAGACGTTTGTTCCAGTCTTCTTACGCTTGTGGGATGGTTCGCCCTCAGATGTTAGACAGACTGTGTTAGTATCCTCCTCTGGCTCCTCATCACTCTCCGACACCAAGCTGGACATTGCCGTCATCTCCTCCAGCTCCTTTTCACAGCGGGACTGCCTGGCTGCTGCAGCAGCTTGACGCTCCTCTCGCCGCTTCACCTTGAGCTGCAGCTTTTTGTCCAATACACCAAATGTGGCCACTCTGTCGGTCTTCATGCTGGCCAAGAAAGCTAGGTCTTCTGGGTTATCAATCAGCTTTTCAACATTTGGAGGCCACAGCGGAAATGTGGCATCAAGTCTGCACTCCATTTTCTCCAATTGTTTCGCTGTAGTCTCACTGGAGCGCTTGGCCTGGGAGATTTTCCGCAGCTTGTTGTTAGCATTGACTAAGTCTACCATCTTGTGGCAGGCCCGCTTGTCGCTCACCATTGGGATGTTGGCTTTCTTGTAAAATAGCCGCACCTGCTCCAGGACACCCTTGGTTGCCTCGAACTGCGACAACGCTCCGTTTGCACCAGGTTTCTTGGCAAGCATGCAGCGTAAGATCTGACGACCAGTTGGCAGTTTGTCGCCGGTGATGATGCCATCCTCACTGGTGATGCTGGGGCCCAGACCAAAGACCAGGCTGCGACTGCTAGTCTGGCAGGGACCAGTTGGTGAGGGCAGCATCTTAGGAGAGCTGGATCCTGGGGTAGGTTGTGTTGTGCAGTGCCTGGGAATGAAAAGGACACAAGCTCAAGGATAGTGTTTAAAATCATATCTTAGCATACTTAATATCACTCAATTAGGATAAACCATGCTGTATTTTAGCTGTACATCGTCCAACTTTATCATTACAATGATAACTTACTCTTACATCACTACCAGAGTAGCTAGCTGTGCTTGAAAATATACCTATGTTTAAAATGTTAATTTAATACAAGGACAAGGATAGATTTTAAAATCATATCTTGGCATACTTAATATCACTCAATTATGATAACCCATGCTTGCATAAGCCTCACATTTTAGCTGTACATAGTCTAACTTCAACATAACTTACCGTTACTACCAGAGTAGCTAGCTGTGCTCGCAAATATACTTATATTTAAAATGTTAATTTACTGTAACAACTACAATGCTACGTCTCAATAAACATGAGACATCAATACTCTGAATATCACATTGTCCACTCTAGAATAGCTGCTACTGTTGATGTTAAGCTTAATAGCTTAGCTAACATAGATAGCTAACTGTGGTTAGTAAACTATTGCTAGCTAGCTAGATTGTTAGATTGTTAGATTGTTAGCTAGATGTAATGAGCACCACATACCTGTATAAATATGACTTAAGTATACAAAGACACAACTACAGATATGACAGTAATATGTAATAATACATACCCAACACAAAAACAGAAAGATCACCTCAGTTTTCTTGAACTGCAGTCTTGTTTACCTCAGATCTCCATGGCGCCCATTGAGCACTGTTTACCACTTTATCCAACAAAAACAGATGTGCGGTGGCACCCCTAAATCATCATGTATTGGAAAAATATTTTGCATGTGTTGTTTCTACATATATTGGAACACTTTTAGCACCCAGCCATATCAAAATTCAAGAATTGTGTTTGTTGATGCACCCTAATGTACAGTATAACATGTGATGTACAGTATATCATGTGATGTACAGTAGATTTACAGTATAACATGTGATGTACAGTATAACATGTGATGTACAGTATAACATGTGATGTACAGTAGATTTACAGTATAACATGTGATGTACAGTATAACATGTGATGTAAAGTATATCATGTGATGTACAGTAGATTTACAGTATAGCATATGATGTACAGTATAACATGTGATGTACAGTATAACATGTGATGTACAGTATAACATGTGATGTACAGTATATCATGTGATGTACAGTAGATTTACAGTGTAACATGTGATGTAAAGTATATCATGTGATGTACAGTAGATTTACAGTATAACATGTGATGTACAGTAGATGTACAGTATAACATGTGATGTACAGTAGATGTACAGTATAACATGTGATGTACAGTATAACATGTGATGTACAGTGTAGCATGTGATGTACAGTATAACATGTGATGTACAGTATAACATGTGATGTACAGTAGATGTACAGTATAACATGTGATGTACAGTAGATGTACAGTGTAACATGTGATGTACAGTAGATGTACAGTATAACATGTGATGTACAGTGTAACATGTGATGTACAGTAGATGTACAGTATAACATGTGATGAACAGTGTAACATGTGATGTACAGTGTAACATGTGATGTACAGTATAACATGTGATGTACAGTGTAACATGTGATGTGCATTATAACATGTGATGTACAGTGTAACATGTGATGTACAGTATAACATGTGATGTACATTATAACATGTGATGTACAGTATAACATGTGATGTACAGTATAAAATGTGATGTATAGTAGATGTACAGTATAACATGTGATGTACAGTGTAACATGTGATGTACAGTGTAACATGTGATGTACAGTATAACATGTGATGTACAGTAGATGTACAGTATAACATGTGATGTACAGTGTAACATGTGATGTACAGTGTAACATGTGATGTACAGTATAACATGTGATGTACAGTAGATGTACAGTGTAACATGTGATGTACAGTAGATGTACAGTGTAACATGTGATGTACAGTAGATGTACAGTATATCATGTGATGTACAGTAGATGTATAGTATATCATGTGATGTACAGTAGATGTACAGTATATCATGTGATGTACAGTGTAACATGTGATGTACAGTAGATGTACAGTATATCATGTGATGTACAGTATAACATGTGATGTGCAGTAGATGTACAGTATATCATGTGATGTACAGTATATCATGTGATGTACAGTAGATGTACAGTATATCATGTGATGTACAGTATATCATGTGATGTACAGTAGATGTACAGTATATCATGTGATGTACAGTATATCATGTGATGTACAGTGTAACATGTGATGTACAGTAGATGCACAGTATAACATGTGATGTACAGTAGATGTACAGTGTAACATGTGATGTACAGTATATAATGTGATGTACAGTATAACATGTGATGTACAGTAGATGTACAGTGTAACATGTGATGTACAGTATATCATGTGATGTACAGTAGATGTACAGTATATCATGTGATGTACCGTATATCATGTGATGTACAGTATATCATGTGATGTACAGTAGATGTACAGTGTAACATGTGATGTACAGTATATCATGTGATGTACAGTAGATGTACAGTATATCATGTGATGTACCGTATATCATGTGATGTACAGTATATCATGTGATGTACAGTAGATGTACAGTATATCATGTGATATAAGTCTAGAGTCTCTAAAAGTACAATGGGAGCCAGAGCCTTTTCTTATCAAGCTCCACATTTGTGGAATCAGCTTCCAGTTTGTGTTCGGGCGGCAGACACCCTATCCGTTTTTAAGAGTGCGCTTAAGACCTTCCTTTTTGATAAAGCTTATATTTAGGGCTGATTAGATTCAGCCCCTAGTTTTGCTGCTATAGGCTTAGTTTGTCGGGGGACATCTTACTTCTTCCTTCTCTCTGTCTATACCTGTGTACTCTCATGTTCCCATTAACCCAGCTTCCCCAAATATCTTTCTTTTTGGTGTCTATATACGCCGGGATCTGGAGTCATGGATGATCCTGCGCTCCTCTGTCCTGGATCTTGAGTCGTGGCTGTGGTCCTGGATCATAGGTCCTGGATGGACATCCTCGTGGATTCATCTTCCTATTATACACACATGCATTTCCAAACATTTGGACTACCTATGTTGCAAATGTATTATCTTTTCAATTTACACACGGCATCTATTGCACGTCTGTCCGTCCTGGGAGAGGGATCCCTCCTCTGTTGCTCTCCCTGAGGTTTCTCCATGTTCCCTTTAAACTGTGGGTTTTCTTCGGAAGTTTTTCCTTGTACGATGTGAGAGTCTAAGGACAGAGGGTCTAAGGACAGAGGGTCTAGGGACAGAGGGTCTAAGGACAGAGGGTGTCGTATTGTCATACTGATATTTTGTACAAACTGTAAAGTCCAATATCACAAATGTAACATTTGTGATATTGGACTATAAATAAACATTGATTGATTGATTGATGTACAGTATAACATGTGATGTACAGTATAACATGTGATGTACAGTGTAACATGTGATGTACAGTAGATGTACAGTATAACATGTGATGTACAGTAGATGTACAGTATAACATGTGATGTACAGTAGATGTACAGTATATCATGTGATGTACAGTATAACATGTGATGTACAGTATATCATGTGATGTACAGTGTAACATGTGATGTACAGTAGATGTACAGTATAACATGTGATGTACAGTATACCATGTGATGTACAGTAGATGTACAGTATAACATGTGATGTACAGTAGATGTACAGTATAACATGTGATGTACAGTATATCATGTGATGTACAGTAGATTTACAGTATAACATGTGATGTACAGTATAACATGTGATGTACAGTAGATGTACAGTGTAACATGTGATGTACAGTATAACATGTGATGTACAGTAGATGTACAGTATAACATGTGATGTACAGTAGATGTACAGTATAACATGTGATGTACAGTGTAACATGTGATGTACAGTAGATGTACAGTATAACATGTGATGTACAGTATAACATGTGATGTACAGTAGAACATGTGATGTACAGTAGATGTACAGTATATAATGTGATGTACAGTAGATGTACAGTATAACATGTTATGTACAGTGTAACATGTGATGTACAGTATAACATGTGATGTACAGTGTAACATGTGATGTACATTATAACATGTGATGTACAGTGTAACATGTGATGTACAGTATAACATGTGATGTACAGTGTAATATGTGATGTACAGTATAACATGTGATGTACAGTGTAACATGTGATGTACAGTATAACATGTGATGTACAGTGTAACATGTGATGTACAGTATAACATGTGATGTACAGTATAACATGTGATGTACAGTAGATGTACAGTGTAACATGTGATGTACAGTAGATGTACAGTATAACATGTGATGTACAGTAGATGTACAGTATAACATGTGATGTACAGTAGATGTACAGTATAACATGTGATGTACAGTATAACATGTGATGTACAGTGTAGCATGTGATGTACAGTGTAACATGTGATGTACAGTATAACATGTTATGTACAGTAGATGTACAGTATAACATGTGATGTACAGTATAACATGTGATGTACAGTAGATGTACAGTGTAACATGTGATGTACAGTATAACATGTGATGTACAGTGTAGCATGTGATGTACAGTATAACATGTGATGTACAGTATAACATGTGATGTACAGTAGATGTACAGTATAACATGTTATGTACAGTAGATGTACAGTATAACATGTGATGTACAGTATATCATGTGATGTACAGTAGATTTACAGTATAACATGTGATGTACAGTATAACATGTGATGTACAGTAGATGTACAGTGTAACATGTGATGTACAGTAGATGTACAGTATAACATGTGATGTACAGTGTAACATGTGATGTACAGTAGATGTACAGTATAACATGTGATGTACAGTGTAACATGTGATGTACAGTGTAACATGTGATGTACATTATAACATGTGATGTACAGTGTAACATGTGATGTACATTATAACATGTGATGTACAGTATAACATGTGATGTACAGTATAACATGTGATGTACAGTGTAACATGTGATGTACAGTATAACATGTGATGTACAGTATAACATGTGATGTACAGTAGATGTACAGTGTAACATGTGATGTACAGTAGATGTACAGTGTAACATGTGATGTACAGTGTAACATGTGATGTACAGTAGATGTACAGTATAACATGTGATGTACAGTGTAACATGTGATGTACAGTGTAACATGTGATGTACAGTATAACATGTGATTTACAGTGTAACATGTGATGTACATTATAACATGTGATGTACAGTGTAACATGTGATGTACAGTATAACATGTGATGTACAGTAGATGTACAGTATAACATGTGATGTACAGTATACCATGTGATGTACAGTAGATGTACAGTATAACATGTGATGTACAGTATAACATGTGATGTACAGTAGATGTACAGTATAACATGTGATGTACAGTGTAACATGTGATGTACAGTGTAACATTTGATGTACAGTATAACATGTGATGTACAGTATAACATGTGATGTACAGTAGATGTACAGTGTAACATGTGATGTACAGTAGATGTACAGTGTAACATGTGATGTACAGTAGATGTACAGTATATCATGTGATGTACAGTAGATGTATAGTATATCATGTGATGTACAGTAGATGTACAGTATATCATGTGATGTACAGTGTAACATGTGATGTACAGTAGATGTACAGTATATCATGTGATGTACAGTAGATGTACAGTATATCATGTGATGTACAGTATAACATGTGATGTACAGTAGATGTACAGTATATCATGTGATGTACAGTATATCATGTGATGTACAGTATATCATGTGATGTACAGTAGATGTACAGTATATCATGTGATGTACAGTATATCATGTGATGTACAGTAGATGTACAGTATATCATGTGATGTACAGTATATCATGTGATGTACAGTGTAACATGTGATGTACAGTAGATGCACAGTATAACATGTGATGTACAGTAGATGTACAGTGTAACATGTGATGTACAGTATATAATGTGATGTACAGTATAACATGTGATGTACAGTAGATGTACAGTGTAACATGTGATGTACAGTATATCATGTGATGTACAGTAGATGTACAGTATATCATGTGATGTACAGTATATCATGTGATGTACAGTATATCATGTGATGTACAGTAGATGTACAGTATATCATGTGATATAAGTCTAGAGTCTCTAAAAGTACAATGGGAGCCAGAGCCTTTTCTTATCAAGCTCCACATTTGTGGAATCAGCTTCCAGTTTGTGTTCGGGCGGCAGACACCCTATCCGTTTTTAAGAGTGCGCTTAAGACCTTCCTTTTTGATAAAGCTTATATTTAGGGCTGATTAGATTCAGCCCCTAGTTTTGCTGCTATAGGCTTAGTTTGTCGGGGGACATCTTACTTCTTCCTTCTCTCTGTCTATACCTGTGTACTCTCATGTTCCCATTAACCCAGCTTCCCCAAATATCTTTCTTTTTGGTGTCTATATACGCCGGGATCTGGAGTCATGGATGATCCTGCGCTCCTCTGTCCTGGATCTTGAGTCGTGGCTGTGGTCCTGGATCATAGGTCCTGGATGGACATCCTCGTGGATTCATCTTCCTATTATACACACATGCATTTCCAAACATTTGGACTACCTATGTTGCAAATGTATTATCTTTTCAATTTACACATGGCATCTATTGCACGTCTGTCCGTCCTGGGAGAGGGATCCCTCCTCTGTTGCTCTCCCTGAGGTTTTCTCCATGTTCCCTTTAAACTGTGGGTTTTCTTCGGAAGTTTTTCCTTGTACGATGTGAGGGTCTAAGGACAGAGGGTCTAAGGACAGAGGGTCTAGGGACAGAGGGTCTAAGGACAGAGGGTGTCGTATTGTCATACTGATATTTTGTACAAACTGTAAAGTCCAATATCACAAATGTAACATTTGTGATATTGGACTATAAATAAACATTGATTGATTGATTGATGTACAGTATAACATGTGATGTACAGTAGATGTACAGTATATCATGTGATGTACAGTATAACATGTGATGTACAGTATATCATGTGATGTACAGTGTAACATGTGATGTACAGTAGATGTACAGTATAACATGTGATGTACAGTATACCATGTGATGTACAGTAGATGTACAGTATAACATGTGATGTACAGTAGATGTACAGTATAACATGTGATGTACAGTATAACATGTGATGTACAGTAGGTGTACAGTATAACATGTGATGTACAGTAGATGTACAGTATAACATGTGATGTACAGTATAACATGTGATGTACAGTAGATGTACAGTATATAATGTGATGTACAGTATAACATGTGATGTACAGTGTATCATGTGATGTACAGTGTAACATGTGATGTACAGTATAACATGTGATGTACAGTAGATGTACAGTATAACATGTGATGTACAGTAGATGTACAGTATAACATGTGATGTACAGTATAACATGTGATGTACAGTATAACATGTGATGTACAGTAGATGTACAGTATAACATGTGATGTACAGTAGATGTACAGTATAACATGTGATATACAGTATAACATGTGATGTACAGTAGATGTACAGTATAACATGTGATGTACAGTAGATGTACAGTATAACATGTGATGTACAGTATAATATGTGATGTACAGTATAACATGTGATGTACAGTGTAACATGTGATGTACAGTAGATGTACAGTATAACATGTGATGTACAGTATAACATGTGATGTACAGTAGATGTACAGTATAACATGTGATGTACAGTAGATGTACAGTGTAACATGTGATGTACAGTATACCATGTGATGTACAGTAGATGTACAGTATACCATGTGATGTACAGTAGATGTACAGTATAACATTTGATGTACAGTATAACATGTGATGTACAGTAGATGTACAGTATAACATGTGATGTACAGTAGATGTACAGTGTAACATGTGATGTACAGTATACCATGTGATGTACAGTAGATGTACAGTATACCATGTGATGTACAGTAGATGTACAGTATAACATGTGATGTACAGTAGATGTACAGTATAACATGTGATGTACAGTATAACATGTGATGTACAGTATAACATGTGATGTACAGTAGATGTACAGTGTAACATGTGATGTACAGTGTAACATGTGATGTACAGTATACCATGTGATGTACAGTAGATGTACAGTATAACATGTGATGTACAGTAGATGTACAGTATAACATGTGATGTACAGTATACCATGTGATGTACAGTAGATGTACAGTATAACATGTGATGTACAGTAGATGTACAGTATAACATGTGATGTACAGTATAACATGTGATGTACAGTAGATGTACAGTATAACATGTGATGTACAGTAGATGTACAGTATAACATGTGATGTACAGTATAACATGTGATGTACAGTAGATGTACAGTGTAACATGTGATGTACAGAAGATGTACAGTATAACATGTGATGTACAGTATAACATGTGATGTACAGTATAACATGTGATGTACAGTAGATGTACAGTATAACATGTGATGTACAGTAGATGTACAGTATAACATGTGATGTACAGTATAACATGTGATGTACAGTATAACATGTGATGTACAGTAGATGTACAGTGTAACATGTGATGTACAGTATAACATGTGATGTACAGTAGATGTACAGTATAACATGTGATGTACAGTATAACATGTGATGTACAGTATAACATGTGATGTACAGTAGATGTACAGTATAACATGTGATGTACAGTATAACATGTGATGTACAGTAGATGTACAGTGTAACATGTGATGTAATGTTTGCAGTAATCAGACGCGGACTCGGACTCTGACACTTTGTAGTTTATTGAAACGTTCCATTGAATTAACACAGCATCTCCATAGCAACAAGTCACACAACCACACTTACACAAATCATTTTCACTGTCATCACCATCGCCATGGTTACTGATGCCTCACACAGGAAGTCACATCACAGAGGAGAATCACGAAGAAGAACGGAAGATAAAAACAGAACAAGAAGAAACACCAATGGAGTGATGACACACACACACACACACACACACACACACCTGTACAGGAGCTACAACACGAGCAGGAAACACGGCACCATGCGGAGGAACAAACTTCACTTTCCCAGGAAAACCAACAAAGAAGAAGCATCACGATTTCAGACCCGGAAACTTTACGTAAACAAAACAGCTCACGGCTGCTGCTGATTGGCTGAGAGCCGAGGGGGCGGGGGGCAAACGCCCGTCTGAAGATTTAGAGACACAACAGTTTTCATGTTTTTATAAATAAAGTGTTAAAAATGAAAGTAAGAATAAATATAAATAATAACTAGTTAATAATAAATATAAATAATAACTAGTAAATAGTGAATAATAAATAGTCAATAATAAATAATAAGTAGTCAATAACATCCCTAAAGATTTTCAGACGGGCCTTTGTTTTGGTAACTGTAAGACCGGACGCCATTTTGGATCCAGCGTCACCACGGAGACCGGCTGAGTGACATCACTCCCTGTGTTGATATTTACATGCAGCAAGACAAACAGCACAGCTGGTAGGTGATGTCATGAGAACGGACGCACTGCTCCGTGGTGATTGGCTGCTGAGGATCCTGGGGGCGGGGCATACAGGGGGAGGGGGCAGGTCATTGGCTAATAGAAACATGGAACAGCTGGTCTATATATATTCTGTTAATGACACACACACACACACTCATTAATATCGTTAGCATCGTCAGCATCGTCAGCTTTGTTCAAGTCGTGGATTTATAATTTATTTTTATCATTTACACATCGATTCATTATAGTGAACATCTAACCCCCCCCCCCTTTAAGCCCCGCCCACCACCCTGGAACAGACAGGAGTGTTGCATTGTGGGTAGGTTGCAGGCTGGATTCACTCCGACGATTTCTGTGATGGAAAGACAAACATAATGTGAAACAATGTGATTAGAATAAGAGTTAACGAGTTCATTAGTTCATCAGGGACTCACCTGCTTCCTGTCCGCTCACATCTGATTGGAGAAGGAGGTTGGCGCCCCCTGCTGGGCGTAACCCTGCCCGTACTCTGCATCCTGCTGGACCACAAATACAACATGAGTACACACTACTGAGTACAAGTACTTGCTCCCCCTTTCCCTCAACCTACCCTAAGGGAGGGCATATACGTAGACACGTTAGTTTAGCTGCTATAGGCTTGGACTGTCGGGGACACCTTGCTCTCATGTTCCGATTAACCCAGCTTCCTGGCTGAACCTGTCTCTGCGGTCCTGCCTTGGGTCTCGTCATGCTGCTTCCCTGATGGCTTCCACAGGATTGTAGCTGACATCCTCGTGGATTCATCTTCTTATTACAGACACATGCATTTCCTAACATTCGGTCTATATGCTGTAAAATGTATTATCTCTTGGATTTCCACACGGCATCTATTCCACGTCTGTCCGTCCTGGGAGAGGGATCCCTCCTCTGTTGCTCTCCCTGAGCTTTCTCCCATTTCCCCTTAAAACTGTGGGGTTTCTCTGGAAGTGTTTCCTTGTACGATGTGAGGGTCTGAGGACAGAGGGTCTGAGGACAGAGGGTCTAAGGACAGAGGGTCTAAGGACAGAGGGTCTGAGGACAGAGGGTCTGAGGACAGAGGGTCTAAGGACAGAGGGTCTGAGGACAGAGGGTCTGAGGACAGAGGGTCTAAGGACAGAGGGTCTAAGGACAGAGGGTCTGAGGACAGAGGGTCTAAGGACAGAGGGTCTAAGGACAGAGGGTCTAAGGACAGAGGGTCTGAGGACAGAGGGTCTGAGGACAGAGGGTCTGAGGACAGAGGGTCTAAGGACAGAGGGTCTGAGGACAGAGGGGTCTGAGGACAGAGGGTCTGAGGACAGAGGGTCTGAGGACAGGGGTCTGAGGACAGAGGGTCTAAGGACAGAGGGTCTAAGGATAGAGGGTCTAAGGACAAAGGGTCTAAGGACAGAGGGTCTAAGGATAGAGGGTCTAAGGACAGAGGGTCAGAGGACAGAGGGTCTGAGGACAGAGGGTCTAAGGACAGAGGGTCTAATGACAGAGGGTCTAAGGACAGAGGGTCTAAGGACAGAGGGTCTAAGGACAGAGGGTCTGAGGACAGAGGGTCTAAGGACAGAGGGTCTAAGGATAGAGGGTCTAAGGACAAAGGGTCTAAGGACAGAGGGTCTAAGGATAGAGGGTCTAAGGACCAGAGGTCTGAGGACAGAGGGTCTGAGGACAGAGGGTCTGAGGACAGAGGGTCTAAGGACAGAGGGTCTAAGGATAGAGGGTCTAAGGACAAAGGGTCTAAGGACAGAGGGTCTAAGGATAGAGGGTCTAAGGACAGAGGGTCTGAGGACAGAGGGTCTAAGGACAGAGGGTCTAATGACAGAGGGTCTAAGGACAGAGGGTCTAAGGACAGAGGGTCTAAAGACAGAGGGTCTGAGGACAGAGGGTCTAAGGACAGAGGGTCTAAGGATAGAGGGTCTAAGGACAAAGGGTCTAAGGACAGAGGGTCTAAGGATAGAGGGTCTAAGGACAGAGGGTCTGAGGACAGAGGGTCTAAGGATAGAGGGTCTAAGGACAAAGGGTCTAAGGACAGAGGGTCTAAGGATAGAGGGTCTAAGGACAGAGGGTCTGAGGACAGAGGGTCTGAGGACAGAGGGTCTAAGGACAGAGGGTCTAAGGACAGAGGGTCTAAGGACAGAGGGTGTCGTATTGTCATACTGATA